AAAGCCTCTGATCTGGTGAGGGGGCCACACACCCCACCCCCAGAACAAGCGAGGAGAAGGCTCAGCCAACCCCAGCCTCTCTCCACAGCCTTAAGACCAGCATGTTTCAACCCTCCGGGATGCCACTGTGTGGTCTGCAGGAGGATGATGACTGCAGGGCCGGAAAGCAGGGTGGAGACACCTAGCGCAAGGCCCGCCCAGGCCGCCCCGGCGAGGAAGTCCCTCGCTCAGGCCATGCTGGGCTCCTGTTCTGTCCCAAACGAAGGTCAGGCACTTCCTCAGTTATACAGACAAACCTACAGAGTGTCTATCTAGCGATCTAGTAAACTTCTCCTACAGTTTATCTTCTAATTCACTGCGAAAGTGCTCTACCAACTCCCCGAGGGGCCAATGTATAGAAAGAACGGAAGTCCACGCTCCGTAGCAGTGCAGAGCTGGACACACTGCGGGGCCACCTGAGGAAAACAGCGTCTTCAAAACAAGGACGTGGGCCCATGCCATCAGATCCCATGGGTCGGTGGGGCTCAGAGAGCGATCGTCAGGGTCCGTGGTGATTATAATGTACAGCCACGGATGGAAACCAAAAATGCCTCCCCAACAGTTGGGGGAAATAAAACATCCAACTTTTGTGATAAAAGGTCTAGCCCCTACCATTACTCAACCATTAACACAGCTCAGCACACAAGCTGACAATAAGCAACTTATCACCGGTGTATGCAGACCTGTGCCTCCAGCCAGCTCCCCATCATCCCGTTTCATAGAGAGGAAGTACTTCCAGCACAATTTGTTCTTGGTCAAACTTTATATTGCTAATAGAACCTTTTGGAAGTTCTGTTTTCCATCAGCATTAACCTATTTTCCCTTCCTCTTCCCTTACATCCCTTTCTTTTATTAAATTAATTCAACTTCCTTCTACAAAGAAATAGTTTACAGGCATCTCAAATTATTGCTGCTCCTTCCCCCACCAGCCTGGACATCTCAGCAAACCTAACATTGACATTAGTCCTCAGGGTCTGGGGCACAAGTTAAACTTGCCTAATGCCAAAATGGTCAAACAAAGACATCAGCAAGTCTTTAAACACGGCCCTAAGGAGGCAGGGCCCCCTACATGACATGTTTGGCTTGGTTTGTTTTGGGGGGTCACATCAGTAGTGTAAACTCAGGCTCACACCTGCCCGAGTTAGGCTTCTGGTAACGAATTCCTGGGGGAGACCTGCTTTATTCCACCCTACTCAACGCCGCTCCCAGATGGGTTCTGAGGGCTCTCCACCTTGTTGGGTGCTCCAGCTATCGGGGGCAAGAGGGGAAAGGCCCAGCTGTGACTTCCTACCTTGTTGGTTCGAGAGCTTTCTTTCCTGTCGCCGGACTCTAGGCCAAAGGGTCAGGAAACCCCTGAAAGATGAGCACGGCCTGCAGTGCAAGCTCACCGTCGGGCTCACGTGGCCTTCCTGCTCTGGCCTCCAAGCAGCCCTTCCCCGTCTCCCACACAGGCACAAGCTCTGACCCGCCCCGGCCCGGGCCTCCTGGTGGGCTGCGTTGCAGGGCTGCTCTGCACATCGAGCCACCATGTTGCCAAAAACAGAGTCCTCGGGCTTCTTACAGAGAGGGAGAAGGAAAACTCTTCCTGGTTTCCAGAGAAGGTGGTTTTTCAGGTTAGTTTTTAAGGGAGACCTGGATTACATTTCAGTTTCTTCAAGGGTAAAACAGGATCAATACTCACAGAATCCACCCCAATGAGTTCCACATGAGAAGAGGGTTGTGCGCATTTGAGTCCCAGTTTCTCAGGCCACCCAGAGTGCGCGATCCTGGAACCCTGTGCCAAATCCAGCTCGATGCCCCCTTCACCACCGCACAGCAATAAGCCAGAAAGCATTACCCCTGGAGCCTGGCTACTCCTCTCCTTCCTCTGCATGACTCCTCAGAACCCAGACTGTTTACACTAGTCGGTGTTGCTGCACATGACCCCGACAAAACTCACTCCCTTCAGATGTAAGATGCATGTACATTTCATCACCAAATGCCTCAGCAAGTGTGGCCTAGGGCACACCCATATTTAACAAACTTGGGGTTACAGGTTTTCTCACTTGGACCCACACCAATAAAGCACACACATTCAATCTGCACTGAGCGTCTGAAACATGAGCTTTACATGGTGATGCGATCTGGTGAGAGTTGATGTTCCTGCATGTCAAATGCTTTGGAAATCTCTGATTCAATTCTCTTTGTCTGACTAGACTTAGTTGTGGACCTGAGGAAAGTTCAGTGAGTACGCATAACCTGTGTTTTAAAACCCTACAGTTTCTGCGCCAATCAAACAAAAGAACACTTGCCTACAAAAGGCCACAGATGTGGGAGGCATTCAGTCAGTATCTTCCAAGTGGCACAAACCGGGTTCCACGGGGCTCCTGCCCCCTGGCCGACCCCGCCCAGGGGAGCCTCAGTGGAAAGGCCGCCAGCGTGGTCCACCGCTGAGGAGACCGTGAGCAGGGCCATCCCCACATTAGGCTCAGGGGCGCGTTTCAGTGCGAGTCATTGCTGTTGTTCTGGGGGCTTCCACACCGCACTGCGGTGTGACTTTTCTCGGGAAGGAGCAGGCCCTGGCTGTGTGAAGTCAGGCCAGTTCCCTCCTGTTTCCTTCTTGGGCTTGGAGGTGCTCCAGCCTGTTAGTGCTCTGATATGTCTTCATTCCTTCCAGCACCTCTCACGGTTGCTTTTCTTTGATCTAAGCCTTTAACATGCTTTAGATCTGAACGTTTCCTACTATCTCCACACGAACACTGCCTCCGGTCTCCTGGGGCTGCTCCTCAGGAGGCAAGTGTTTAAACTCACCCCACTCTTTTTCTTTTAAATTTACCTTTATTGCTGAAAGTTTTACAAATATCCTGTTTCTTTCCCAACTGAACTCTCCACGCCACACCAGGCCTTCACCACACTACACTGGTCCCACTCTTACTTCCCCTCTGCGCTATCCCTCTAGAGCAGTGGTTCTCAACCTTCCTAATGCTGCAACCCATTAATACAGCTCCTCATGTTGTGGTGACCACAACCATAAAATTGTTTTCGTTGCTACTTCATAACTGTAATTTTGCTACTGTAAATGAATCATAAATATCTGTGTTTTAGGCTCTACAGCAGCAGTTCTCAACCTGTGGGTCTCGAACCACAAGTTGAGAACCGCTAGCAAAGTCGCCTAAGACCATTGGAAAACAGACATTTACATTAGGATTCATAACAGTAACAAAATTACAGTTATGAAATAGCAACAAAAATAATTTTATGGTTGGGGTAACCATAACATGAGGAGCTGTATTAAAGGGTCTCGGCATTAGAAAGGTGGAGAACCACGGCTCTAAGTTTCCTACCCAAACCTCACTGACAAGAGTGGAGCCAGCTTCTCCTTCCATAAGGGACCAGGATGCCTGCTCGCGACAAGGAGACCCAGCCCCTCCCCCACTGTGCACCTCTGCAGCCAGGGTCATCACTTCACTCAATGATCATGTTCTTGCCTTTTCTTTCAAATCTCTATTGACTCACAAGGGCTTCCCACACCCCTTCTTCTGCAGCAAAGCCATGGTCTGCTGGTTCACTGGAGGCTGCTGATGGAGCCTCTGTGAGGCCCCTGTCAGAGTCACTGTCACTCCTGGGCTCCTTCACAGTAAGCCCATATCTCCCGTGACATCTAGCAGTTCCTCATACTCCAGCTATTCCTGCACCGCCACCCCTGGCTCCCTGCTCAGCACCTGGCAGACAGTGACGCTCCCGAAGGCCCGCTGTGTATCTGAGTCCATAAGGGAGTGAGCACCCATGTAGCCAAGGTGAGAAGGCCAGTGGGCTGTGGAGGGGAGAAAGGCAGAGCAGGTGGCATCGGAGGTGGCGGCCCAGGACACAGCACAGAGAGCCTCGGGGGTGAGTACTCGGACAGTGGGGACAGAAATGTGCTCTCTGCTCAGTTCAGTCCTTTCCAGATGCCACCCAAGAGCTCCTTCCAGCACACATGCTGACTGCACCAGCCTATCCTGTCCACGCAACCTGAACCCACCTGCACCTCCAGCCGGATTTCCCTCCTGCATGCTCCCACGTGCATGAGACAGTGAATTTGTCACTGTTTCTGAGAGTGTAAGACCACTTCATCATGGTGCCTTTAACGAGCTTGATGTGCCTTTCCCACGCGAGGCTCCTGGCAAACTGCTGCCATGCCACAAGACTCAGCTTCCTCTATGGGGTTTCCCTTGTCACTGCCATTCAACCAAGTGTCCAGGCACCTGGTCATCACACCAACCTGCACACACCCTGCACGTTTCTCCTCCTAGGCGTCATGGGCCTCGGAAAGCCTGGCCCTGCCTGACCTCTCCTTGACCCCTACATTCAGGTGCTGACGGTGTGTCGACGTGCCACAGCAGGTGGAATCTGAGAAGATGACCTCTGGGGTCACTCTGACCTCCATCTTCTGACTCCAACCTAAAAGCAGTGCTTCTCACGTGTGCTGAGCTGAAATTCTGTGCCGTTAACTGGGATACTCACAAATGCTCAGATTCTTGACCACCGTTCTCAGCTGCAGAACTGGAAACAGAGCCACCAGTCTCACTGCTGACTTTCTCACTGGGCAGTGGGCCAGCCTGGTGCCTTGTCAGCACTGATGCCGGAGCACAGCACGGAGGCAAGTGAGGTCCTTACTATGACCCCACCTGCGGGCAGGGAGCAGAGGCTGGGAGACACTCAGCTGCATGCCTCAGACAACAAAGTCACGGGTCAACCAAGCTTCCTGATTTCATTTTCCTGCTTCCTCAGCAATCTGTTTGGTGACTTATGCTTCCTTCATGAGAAACCATGAACTTTATCCAGACCTTGGCAAAGAAAAGGAGGAGGAACCAACCTTTCCTCTCCCTTGTCTCTGAGAATAAAACAAATCCATCTTTCTTTAGCTTATGACTGGGGCTAAAATAGTAAACAAGAATTTAAATGTTTGGTGTTGATATCAAAGCACACATCTACACACTCACCTGATGGGTCCATAGTTCAGGAAGACAAACGCCAACAGCACCAGCACACAGATGGCTCTTCGCTTCGGACTAGGGACCTTAAGCCTTTGGTTCTAGGGAAATGACCATATGATGTACAATTAGACTACAGCTCAGCCTTACAAAGAACAATGTCTAAGAGAAGAACTTTCTTCCTCACGTTACAGGAACGCTTCAACAATAAAACAAAACCTGCTGCCACTGGGAAGGAGGCTACAAGATTGTGTGTGAGAGAACGAAGGAGAGTGCGTGGACATGCGGGGGTTGTCTATTTGTGAGGGAGGGACTGTTGGGGACTGCCAGACCGAGCTCCCCTGACAAGGCAGCCCCTACTGCTGCTGAAATCTCTCCCAGAGCGGCTGGCTCTGCCACAGAGACCATGCTGAAGGGGAGACTGGCTGTGATCGGAAGCCTAGTCTCACCTTCAACCGGGAAGAACTAGGATACTTGCCGGGACACTACCACCACAGCACCCAGGGACCAGCTGCAATGCCACAAACACCGGATCTCAAGCAGCGCGAATACACAGACTCGGACAAGCTTTGCACCTTCTCACGAACGGTCAGATTTCACCCAGAGAAAGGTGAGGTCTGCCATCCAGGCTAAAGGAAGAAAAGCACAGTGGGATCTAAAGTTTCTAAGAAAGTCAACACCCCACAAAATCCGTGGCTATTGGAGTCAGAGTAGCCTGCAAATGGTGGAAGGGGGTCTAAAGGGCTGCTGGCAGAAGGGAACTCAAAAATCAGCCCATAGCTGGGCTGAGCACAGAAAGGCAGCCCGAAGTTCTATCAGTACACCAGTCACAGTGCCAAGGGAAAAAGACGTGTGCAGAGACATGAGCAGACGTGGGCAGTGCTGGGAGAAAAGTAGCAAGTCCCCATGCTTACTCTGGCTTTTTTTCTCTTTAAATCCTTGCTTTTGATTACTAAGATCCAGTACACAGGATCTCCCAATTAAAAACACTCTCAGAGACTCAGGGGAAAGTTGTTTTTGTGGAACCTGGGGATCAGAGCTAGGAGAAATAACCAGAAAACCAGCTCTGGGGCAGCCCATTCCCCCAAACCAGTATAAAGTGCGGCAGGGAAAACAAAAACTAAATATTGACTAGAGAGGACTTAGAACCCCAAAGGTCAACCCAGAAACACTGCCAACCAGAATTGAATCACAAATTGACTCTTGTGTAAACACAAATAAAGGCAGGCTGAGAAACAAAATACCACCTGCTTGAAAACAGGATTGTGGCTTATGACACAGAGGAGCAGTGGAACGCAGGGAACTTCAATACTGTCCTGATTACCTGACAGAAAACAGGCATGCCTAACAGAAGAGTAGAGGAAGTGAATAACATCCACCACCTCACATTTTTATTTTTTATCTTTTACTTAAGAAACTAAATTTTCTCTTGATATTACTTTTTAATTATCATATTTTTATTTTTAATTAGTATTATTACTACTATTATTTTACCTTTTTTAAAGTTCCATTTTATTTTTTCTTTATTTTATTTTATTTTATCCTGCTCTAGATTTTTCTATACATTCTTTTTACACCTATTAAAAATTCATCCTACTTATATATCTAATTTCCACTCCCCTGATCCAAGTCCATACAAATCTCTCTTCTCTTTCTTCACTATCCAATTTTTTTCTCTCTTCCTTTTTCTTTTTCCTTTTTTCTTGTTTTAGGTTTTTTGTTTTATTTTGTTTTGTTTTGCCCTTCTTTCTCTCTGTCCTATTGTTATTATTTATTTGACTGTTGATTAGTTTGTTTTTTTGTGTGCTTGTTTTTGTTTTGTTTTTTTGCTTGTGTTTCCTCTCCTCGCTTGTTATTATTGTTTGTAGTTTGCATTCATCTCTGGGTGTTTGTTGTTTGTATTTCTTTGGATTAGTTGTTGTTCAATTGGAGTTTCCTCACTGCAGGCGCATCAGGGCTCACTGTGCCCCCTTTTCAGACAACCAATTAATGGTTCCCCCTCCACCCCTTTTTTTATTCTCTTTCTTTTCTCTCTTACTTTTTTTTTTGCACTCTTTTTTTTTAATCCCCTAATTCTCTTTTCTCTAGTGGCCACCTTTATTTGGTGTGATTAGTATCATGAACACATTTGTGTTCAGTGCCTTGTGCATTGTGCCTTGTTGTGTTGTATTTTGTGCCTTTAAGTCAATGCAGGAGAGAGAGAGCTACATAACCTGGAGAGGAGTGATCATGAGGAAACAAAGAAACATCCCACATATGAAAGAAAAGCAGGCATCACCAGAAAAGGAAGTAAACGAAATGGAGGCAAGCAACCTGTCAGAGAAAGAATTCAGAGAAACGGTCATTAAATGGATGAAAAGAATGGAAGACAAATTCAACAATATATGTAAGAACCAAGAAGAAATGAAGAAAAACCAAGAAGAAATGAAAAATGATATTGCTGCAATAAAAAACTCAATAGAAAGCATCAACAGTAGACTAGAAGAAGCAGAGGACTGCATCAGGGAGCTAGAAGACAAGGTAGAAAAAAATACCCAAACACAGCAGCATCTAGGAAAAAAACTTAAAAAATAGGAGGAGAGCCTAAGGGAATTTTGGGACAACATGAAACGAAACAACATCCACATTAATACGGGTGCCAGAAGGAGAAGACTGAACAAGGAATAGAAAATGTGTTTGAAGAAATAATGACAGAAAACTTCCCTGATATAGGGAAGAAAAAATTCACACAAGTTCAAGAAGCTCACAGATTCCCAAACAAAATGAACCCCAAAAGACCAATGCCAAGGCACATTATAATTAAATTTGTAAACACCAACGACAAAGTAAGAATCTTAAAAGCAGCCAGGGAGAAACAAAAAATTATCTACAAAGGATCCCACATCAGACTAGCAACTTATTTCTCAACAGAAACACATCAAGCCAGAAGGGAATAAAATTAAATATACAAAGTCATGCAAAAAAAGGTCTGAATCTGAAAATACTGTACCTATCAAGGCTATCAATCAAAATTGAAGTGAAATCAGGAGCTTCACAGACAAAAAAGGACTAAGGCAGTTTATTACACCTCCATATCAGCAATGCAAGAAATGCTAGAGGATCTGCTATAAAAGGAGAAATAGGAAGCGAAGAAGGAACACAGGCATAAAGAATAAAAATGGTGACAAACAAGTACCTATCAATAATAACTTTAAATGTAAATGCATTAAATGCTCCAATCAAAAGACACAGGGTAGACGAAACCGGTTTGGCTCAGTGGATAGAGCGTCAGCCTGCGGACTGAAAGGTCCCAGGTTCGATTCCGGTCAACGGCATATACCTTGGTTGCGGGCACATCCCCAGTAGGGGGTATGCAAGAGGCGGCTGATCGATGAATCTTTCTCATCAATGTTTCTAACTCTCTATCCCTCTCTCTTCCTCTCTGTAAAAAATCAATAAAATATATTTTAAAAAGAAAAAAAAGACACAGAGTAACGGATTGTATAGGAGAGCACGACCCCATATATCTGCTGTCTACAAGAAACCCACCTCAGGAAAAAAAGATGCACACAGACTGATGGTGAAGGGATGAAAAAAGGTTTTTCAGATGAATGGAAATGAAAAAAAAAAACTGGGGTAGCAATACTTACGCCTGAAAAATTAGACCTCAAAGTGAAGGACATTACAAGAGATAAGGAAGGCCACTTCACAATACTAAAGGGAGCAATCCAACAAGAAGATGTAACTCTGGTAAACATATATGCACCCAATACAGGAGCACTCAAATACATAAAAACAACTCCTAGAGGATATCAAGGGAGAGATTGACAACAATACAGTCATAGTAGGGGACTTTAATACCCCACTAACACCACTAGACAAATCCTCTAAACAAAAATTAGCAAAGAAACATCAATCCTCACTAATCAAACGAAATTAATTTACATCTTCAGAATATTTCAACCCAAAGGCACAGAATATACATTCTTCTCAAGTGCACACGAGACATTTCAAAGATAGACCATATATTGGGACACAGGCAAAGTCTCTTCAAATTCAAGAAGATAGAAATCATATCAAGCATCTTCTCAGATCACAGTGACATAAAACTAGAAATCAGTACAATAAAAACAATCCAAAAAAATATCAAACACATGGAGACTAAACAGCATGCTATTAAACAATGATTGGGTTACCAAAGAGATCAAAGAAGAAATAAAAAGCTTCATGGCAACAAATGACAATGAAAACACAACAATCTAAAATCTATGGGACACAGTGGAAGCAGTCTTGAGAGGGAAGTTCATAGCTCTACAGGCCTACCTCAAAAAACAAGAAACAATGGTAATAAATTATTTAACCCTACAACTCAAAGAGTTAAAAAGAGAGCATCAAGAAAAGTCCAGTGTAAGCAGAAGGAAAGAAATAATAAAGATCAGAGTGGAGATAAATGACATAGACACAAAAAAATAGAAAAGATCAACAAAACAAAGAGCTGGTTCTTTGAAAGGATAAACAAGATTGATCACCAAGAAGCAAAGAGAGAGGACCCAAATAAACAAAATCAGAAATGAAAGAGGTGAAGTAACAACTGATCCCACAGAAATACAAATGATTATGAAAAAATACTATGAATAACTCTATTCCAACAAAATGGACAACCAAGTGAAATGGACATATTCTTAGAAAAATACAAGCTCCCAAAACTCAACCAAAAACCTGAAGAGGCCGATAACTATACCAAAGAAATTAAAACAGCAATCAAAAATCTTCCAACAGCCTTAGCCAGCTTGGCTCAGTGGGATAGAGCGTCAGCCTGCAGGGTATGCAGGAGGCAGCCAATCAATGATTCTCTCATCATAGCTGTTTCTATCTCTCTCTCTCCTCCCTTCCTCCCTGAAATCAATAAAGAAATATATATTTTTTAATCTTCCAACAAACAAAAGCCCTGGTCTGGATGGCTTTACAGAGGAGTTATACCAAGCATTCAAAGAACTAAAACCTGTCCTGACTATTCAAAAAATTCAAGAGGAAGGCACATTCCAACCTCTTTCTATGAAGCCAGCATTACCCTAATCCCAAAACCAGATAAAGAAACCACACACACACACACACACACACACAAGAACTACAGGCCTATCCTTGAACATAGGTGCTAAAATTCTCAACAAAATTCTAGCAAATCAGATTCAGCAATAAATTAGAAAGATCATACACCATGACCAAGTGGGATTTATTTCATGGATGCAAGCATGGTACAATATACGCAAATCAATAAATATGATACATCACATAAACAAACTGAGACAAAAATCACATAATCACATCAATTAATGCAAAAAAAAAAGCACTTGACAAAATCCAACACCCTTTCTTGATAAAAACTCTCAGCCAAGTGGGAATATAGGGATCATACCTCAATATAATAAAAGCCCTTTACGACAAACCTACAGCCAACATCATACTCAATGGGCAAACACTAAACTCATTTCCCCTAAGAACAAGACAAGGATGCCCACCTTCACCACTCCTGTTCGATATAATGCTGGAAGTACTAGCCATTTCAAACAGACAAGAAGAAATAAAAGGCATCCAAATTGGAAAAGAAGTAAAACTGTCCTTATTCACAGATGACATGATACTATACATAGAAAACGCCAAGACTCCATCAGAAAACTACTAGACCTAATAAATGAATTTGGCAATGTAGCAGGATACAAAATTAATGCTCAGAAATCTATAGCCTTTTTATATGCCAATAATTAACTCACATAAAAAGAAATGAAAAAATATAATCCTACATACCATTGCACACAAAAAAAAATTTAAGATAGCTAGGAATAAACTTTAAGGACGTAAAAGACTGTACTCAGAAAACTACAGGATATTGAAAAAAGATGGAGGAAGACATAAACAAATGGAATAACATACCATCTTCATGGATTGGTAGAAACAACATCATTAAAATGTCCATACTATCTAAAGCAATCTATAGATTCAATGCAATACTTATTAAAATATCAATGGCATATTTCAAAGACCTAGAACGGACTCTCCAAAAATTCATCTGGAATAAAAATTTTAAAAAAGACCCCAAATACCTACAGCAATTCTGAGAAAGAAGAACAAAGTTGAAGGGATCGAAATACAAGATATCAAGCTATATTACCAAGCCACAGTTCTCAAAATTGCCTGATAATGGCACAAGAACAAATATATTGATCAATGGAACAGAACAGAGGACCCATAAATGGATCCAAGCCATTATGCTCAATTAGTATTTGACAAAGGAGGCAAGAGCAGACAATGGAGTCAAAACAGTCTCTTTAATAAATGGTGCTGGGAAATTTGGTCCTATGCATGCAAAAAAATGAAACTATATCACCAATTTACACCATACACAAAAACAAACTCAAAATGGTTAAAGGACTTGAATGTAAGATGGGAAACCATAAAAATCCTACAAGACTCCATAGGCAGCAAAATTGCAGACATATGTCGTAGCAACATCTTTACACACACAGATCTTAGCACAAGAGAGACTAAGGAGAAAAATAAACAAATGGACTACATCAAAATAAAAAGCTTCTGCACAGCAAAAGAAACCATCAACAAAACAAGAAAGCCCACTGCATGGGAGAACATATTTGCCAATGTTATCTCCGATAGGGTTTAATCTCCAACATTTACAGGGAACTCCTACAACTTAACAAAAGGAAGGTAAACAATCCAATCAAAAACTGGACAAAAGACCTAAATAAACCTTTCAAAAGAGGACATTCAGATAGCCAAGAGACATGAAAACATGCTCAAAGTCAATAATCATTAGAGATATGCAAATCAAAACGACAATGCGGTACCATCTCACACCTGTCAGAATGGCTATCATCAACAAATCAACAAACGACAGGTGCTGGCGAGGATGAGGATGTGGAGAAAAAGGAACCCTCGTGCACTGCTGGTGGGAATGTAGACTGGTGCAGCCACTGTGGAGAACAGTATGGTGTTTCCTCAAAAAATTACAAATGGAACTCCCATTTGACCCAGTAATGCCACTTCTAGGAATATATCCCAAGAAACTAGAAACACCAATCAGAAAGGATATATGCACACCTATGTCCATAGCAGCACAATTCACCATAGCTAAGATTTGGAAACAGCCTAATGCCCGTCAGAAGATGCCTGGATTAGAAAACTATGGTACATCTACACAATGGAATACTACACTGCTGTAAAGAAAAAGAAAAAAGAAAAAAAAGGAATTCTTACATTTTGCAGCAACCTGGATGGAACTGGAGGGCATTATGCTAAGTGAAATAAGCCAGTCAGTGAAAGAAAAATACCACATGATCTCACTCATTTATCATATAAATAATAAAGAATATTATTACCTGGTGAACAAATAGATACAGAAGCAGAGAAGCATCGAAAAGACTGTCAAATTACAATAAGAAGGCTGGGGATGGTTAGTGGGGGGAGGTAAGAGATCAACCAAAGGACTTGTACGCTTGCATATAAGCATAACCTATGGACGCAAGACACTGGGGGGATAGGGAGATGGGGATGTGCCAGGGGGGTAGAGAAGGCCAGGGGAAGGTCAATGAGGAAAGAAAGGAGACATATGTACTACTATTTGTAATGCTTTAAACAATAAAATAAAATTTAAGAAAAAAACAATAGCCGAAACTGGTTTGGCTCAGCGGTAGAGCAGTCGGTCCTTGGACTGAAAGGTCCCAGGTTCGATTCTGGTCAGGGGCATGTACATTGGTTGCGGGCACATCCCCAGTAGGGGGTGTGCAAGAGGCAGCTGGTCGATGTTTCTCTCTCATTGATGTGTCTAGCTCTCTATCTCTCCCTTCCTCTCTGTAAAAAATCAATAAAATATACTTAAAAAAATAAATAAATAAAACTCAAAGGAAAGCAAACTTTTCAGACAAGAGCAGAACCTCCTCGCCCCTCCCATGAGGAGTCAGCCAGTTTGCATCCTCCTGAGGCTCCTGCCGTCTGTCCCTGTCCCCGCAGCACCATTCAGTCATGCGATGGGCTGTTCCCAGGCAGCAGGCAGCCGGGCAGGAGAGAATCCCGCAGAGGCAGAGGCGTGTTTGGTTGGGACAGCCCCACGGGGCCCTGGAGCACCAGGCCTCAAGACAGACCTGAGATCTGCCCGCCTGGCCCAGCGCGGTGCATGGTCAGATGCCATGGGGAAAGAAGCCTCAGGAAGCGGGGAAGGTGACACCCTCCTGCAGGCGCGTCAGGGCTCACTGTGCCCCCTTCCTAAGACTGTTTACAACGTAATCAGAAACGTAGCACTCCCTCCTGGCCTGTCAGGAAGAATGGGCACTGACCCCGAGCCCGCTCCCCGCCGGCCCTCACCTCGGACACCACTTGGTCCAGCTGCCGCTTCAGCGTGCCGTTCTCCTTCCTCAGCTTCTCGTTCTCGGACAGGGCCGCCTGCAGCCGCGCCTCCAGCCCCAGCATGTACTCCTTCTTCTTCTTGCGGGACTGGCAGGCCGACTCCCGGTTCTTGATCATCCGCTGCTGCCTCCTCAGCACAGCCATCTAGCAGGAGTGAAGACGAATCGAACATCTGAGTCCAGAATCCAATCAGATCAGATTTTCATAATTAATTTTAAACAATTGTTCAAAACGTGTTACTGGTTGTTTCAAATAGGTTTTTGTTTGGTTGGTTGGTTGGTTGGTTTTTTAAAATATATTTTATTGATTTTTTACAGAAAGGAAGGGAGAGAGATAGAGAGTCAGAAACGTCAATGAGAGAGAAACATCGACCAGCCGCCTCCTGCACACCCCTCACCAGGGATGTGCCCACAACCAACGTACATGCCCTTGACCGGAATCGAACCCGGAACCTTTCAGTCCGCAGACCGACGCTCTACCACTGAGCCAAACCGGTTTCGGCTTAAATAGGTTTTTAAAAACATTACTCAAATTGAGGTCCAATGATTCAGTAAGGCTTCTCAAACCTAAATGAAAGGTAACTTCCTCTCCTGTCTTCTAGGCTCCTTCCCGCCCTTCCAACTCCCCCTGGAGACTCCCGAAAGAACAGCCGCAAACCGTCAGACTGCCTCTGGGACCCAAGTCACTGGCTATTTTTCAGAACCACCTCAGCCGCTCATAAGGCCACTCGACTGTGGAGCCACCACCGCTTCAGCTCCTGTGCGCACACCACATCCCTCTCATTTTCCATGGGGGTCATGAGCCTCCAGGCATACAGGGAGAAGCAAGCGTTAGCTCACTTTACTGCCACTCTGCATTGGCGCCCTCTGTCCTCTTCGCACCTGCTCAGCAAGCACTGGGCTGCGGGCCTCCCCGCCCACTGCTCTCTCCCTCCCACAGGCCATCTCCCTCCCTCTAGGCCAGGGGTCAGCAACCTGCGGCTCCGGAGCAGCATGCGGCTCTTTTGAACCTTTGCTGCGGCTCCCAGCAGGGCTGACAGCAGGGGGCGGGCGGGGAGTTGTATTACTTACCTATAATACTAATTTTTGTTATTGGTTAAGCATGGGAGACAGGTCCTTTTGTAAGATGTACACTGTAGGAAATTTGTGGCTATTATATAAAAATTTTTTTAAATAAATAAATTAAATTATTATTTACATTTTTAAATTTAATTTACTTAATTTAATTTACAGAATATTGGGGGGCCTGATGAATTATTTTTATGGCATGCATGGCTCACTAATTAATTTACAAAATATTGGGGGCCTGATGAATTTTTTTTTTTTAAAGGTGACTTGTTGAGGCAGGTGCAGGGGCGGGGTGGGGAGGGAGCAGCCGCGCTCCCCGGCGCTCTCTTTCGGACCCCCCACGCTGAGGTGCTTCTCCTCCTCCTCGCGCCCCCGGTCCCGGTCCCGGCCCAGCGCGGGGCTCAGGGATGCCCGCCAGCATGTTCAGCATCAACAACATCCTGGCTGCGCGGCCATGCTGCAAGGATGCGGTGCTGCGGGTGGCTCCGGACCCCGCTGCCCCTGTCGTCTTCCCGGAGCTGCACGGGGACTTGCTACAGCGCCGTCGGCAGTGCCGCCTCCTCCCCAGACTACGGCCAAACAAGGGGTGAGTATATCTGTAAGGCTGTCCTGAACTATTTAAGAGCCGAAAAAATAAACACCAACCACCTGGTCTCAGTGGCTACTGATGGGGCACCGAGCATGAGAGGAGCACAGAAGGGCTTTGTGGCTCTACTGCAGAAGGCTCTGGGTAGAACGCTGCTCTCATTTCATTGCATCCTGCACCAAGAGGCATTGTGTGCTCAAACATTTCCCCCGGAATGCACAAAAGTGATGGATGTGGTCATTCAGATTGTTAATAGGATAATGGCAGAGGGTTTAAACCACTGCCAGTTCCGTTTGCTATTGGATGAGGTGGAAAGCATATATTCTGACCTCCTGCTCCACAACAAGGTCCGGTGGCTGTCCAGAGGCAAGGTGCTAAAACGCTTTGTCGCATCTTTGGAAGAAGTAAAAATTTTCTGGCCAGCAAAGAGTTCACCTTTCCTGAGCTGGAACAACCAGAGTGGCTGGAAAAATTACATTTTATGGTAGACATGACAGCACATCTAAACACACTAAATACAACCCTTCAGGGGAAAGGAGGCACAGCCCTGCACATGCTGGAGGAGGTTTTGGCATTCGAGCGCAAGTTGACAGTGTTTGTCAAAGATTTACAGAGAGGTACAGTGTCTCACTTTCCCTCTTAGAGAGAGTTCAAACAAAGTCATGATATGATAAATTTGTAATATTTGAAGTCTGCAATCACCACAATGCAAAGTTCGTTTGGGAAACAATTCTGTGAGTTCAGAGAGGAAAAAACCACATTATCCTTCCCTGTCACTCCCCTGGCAATCGATCCATTCCTATTGAATATGACTGCATTTGCAGGTGTAAGTCTAACTGATCTTGAGATGGAACTGGCCGATATAGCTGACAAAGATATATGGGTGTCCAAATTCAAATGCTTGGCCGCTACTCTTGAGGATGTTGCCCGTCAGAAGGCCATTCTGGCTCAGAATCATAAATGGAGTGATATTGAAAACCTTCCCAAACAGGACAAACTTGTGTTCGAAACATGGAATGCCATCCCCAACACTTATATAAACATGAAAAAGTATGCATTTGGAGTCCTGTCGATCTTCGGCTCCACATATGTATGTGAGCAGGTCTTCTCCAACATGAACTATATTAAAAACAAACATCGATCACGCCTCACAGATGACAACTTGCAAGCCTGTGTGAAAATGAAGGTAACGTCTTACAGCTCTGATGTGCTGACACTGTGCACTGAGGTTCAGGAGCAAAAATCCCATTAACTAGGTAAATTAAATATTTTAATTAGCTATTAATTTGCAAAAATATATTTTACATTGTTAAGTGGAAAAGTCCTTTTTTTCTTCAGATTGACAGCTAACTGCACGATCCGGTATATAGCATTAAGGTAAGAAACAATATATGCAGTGTTATATTTGTTTTAAATGTCGCAATGGTTTTGCGGCTCCCAGGTTTTTTTTTCCTTCGGAAACGGGTCCAAGTGGCTCTTTATGTCTTAAAGGTTGCCGACTCCTGCTCTAGGCCATCCCTGAGCGCTGCAGCCGCCTCCTGTGCCTCCACCCCAGGGATCTCCTCCTTTCTGCCATGGCTAAGAGCGCTTCCCCCGGAAAGCCAGGCCCATGCTGCTACTGTATTGGAAATAAAAAGATAATCATGCATCTCAGCTGCTCCCTCAGCTCTCCAGGCCTTCAGGACATGACCACCCACTGGCCAAACCTGCTGCGCGCACAGCACTTGGGAGTGTTGAAAAGGCATAAAGAATAGAGACTTTCCTTCAGAAGGCACAGTCCATGGTGAGAGCCACAGAAAAGTCGCCTTACACTGCTAATCCTTGCATATGATTCTGTAACCAGCTTTCACCAACCCAAAGTTCTCTTTTGTTAACAATTAATATTTTTCCACATTTTTGTAAAACAGCTGCTTTTGGAGGGCAAACTCCTGAAGAATACAAAGCACCGATCCTTTTGTTGAGAAAATGGCCACTGTCTTTTTGCACACAGCATTTTGTCCATCTGATTGTTGGGTTAATTCACATTTTCCTAAATGACTTGTAAATACTCTATTTTACAAATGGTTTTAAAAAACTATCAAAACTTGTACATGAGCCAAAACTGGTTTGGCTCAGTGGAAAGAGCGTCGGCCTGCGGATTGAAAGGTCCCAGGTTCAATTCCAGTCAAGGGCATGTATCTTGGTTGCGGGCACATCCCCAGTGGGGGGTGTGCAGGAGGCAGCTGATCGATATCTCTCTCTCTCATCGATGTGTCTCTCTCTCATCGATGTTTCTGACTCTCTATCCCTCTCCCTACCTCTCTGTAAAAAAATCAGTAAAATATCTTTTTTTAAAAACTTGTACATGAAAGTTCAAAGCAACATTATTCACAATAATCAAAAAGTGAAAATACCCAAATGTCCAGTAATTGGTGAATGGATAAGCCAAAATGTGGTGCAGCCAAACAATGGAATACTATTTGGCCATGAAAAAGGATTAGTACTGATACATGTTACAATATGAATAGACCTTGAAAATACTATGGTGAGTGACAGAAGTCATACACAAAAGGCCACATCATGTGTAAGTCCACTGACATAAATGTCCAGAAGAGGCAAATCCATACAGACAGAAAGCAGACCAGTCCCTGCGGGGCTGGAGAAGGGGAGGAGTGACTGCCAATGGGTGCGGAGTTTCTTTTGAGGGTCATGAAAGCACGCTGACTAGAGAGCAGTGATACAAGGTAGCACAACCCTAAGCATACCAAAAACCTCCCCACTGTACACCTGAAAAAGGTGAACTCCATGGCATTGAATTTCATTCCAGGAAGCCATGGGCTCTCCCCAAGCACAGAGCAGGACAGCCAGTCACGAGAGGAAAGGGCCACAGCAAGGGAACACTGAGACCCACGAGGGCCCTGTTCAGCAGCCAGGGGCTGGCGCTCCACACACAGAGGAAGGCCCGGGAGAAGGCCCTGCGGAGCCACGGTAACACCAGCAACACGAAGACCTGCAGCTCCGACTCCAGGCGCCTCCTGCAGTGCATCTGTGCAGCCCGCTACTCAATGGAGGTATGTTTATAAAGACTGCACAACTATTAAATAATTGTAGCAGCCTCTGGGAGGGTCGGGAGGCGGTGCTTTCTTTGTGAAGCCGAACATGGGCCCTCTCCATTCTTCTAGGAGCTTGTTGGCATTGCTCTGCGTTGTAAACAGGTTATTTTACACTCATATTTTTCTTTTTTCTTTTCTTTTCTTTTCTTTTAATCCTCATCCAAGGACATTTTCCCATTGATTTTTAGAGAGAATGGAACCGAGAGGGAAAGACAGAGACAAACATCAATGTGAGAGAAACACATTGACTGGTTGCCTCCTTACGTGCCCCAGGCAGTGCCCGGACCGGGGAGGAGCCTGCAATGTGCTAAAGACTGGAATCGAACCCAGGACCCTTTGAGCCAAACCGGCCAGGGCTCATATTTTCCTGGAAAGACATTCCTGTGGGTCCCAGACACA